GGTGACGCGAGCAGGTGATCTAAGCTTAGTAGTGAAGAATAAATTAAAATGCAAACACAGTTTTCAGACTAAACTGGAATAATAACGAGGCACGCCAGAACCACGGAGCCAGCCTGCTGAGTGACTGCAGCGCAGGCTGCCGTTCCCAGTGTGAGGGGAAGGGGAATATGTTCCCGGCACACGTTAGACTTATTACGAAGCATGGACGTGAACATTCAGAGTCACCAACAGCAGAATGATCCGGGCCTTGGTACAGCCCCTCAGGTTATCCTCCACCCGAAACGAGCTTTCAACCCCGTAAGGTCTCCTTCCCCTTAAAGCTCATTTATATTGTCCCTGAAAATTTAAACAGTGAGAGACATCTGCGCTGATTCGTAGAGGAGGAAAAACCCAAACTGAAACTGAAAATCAGAATGAAACACTTTGAAAATGATCGTATTTATTACAGTTTCATTTACGTGTATTTGCTGAAACTGGTCGTTTCTGTTATTCGAACAGTTCTGCAAATGGACTTTTTACACTGCACATCCAGATACTTGCACGTCGTATTCAGCACTGCATCTATGATGGTGGTGCATCACAGGTGAGAGGTCACCGTCAAAGGTCACCATCACAGGTGAGGCGGATAGAGAAGTGTTAGAGTAACATCTGCTCCCAAAGCCTTTTTCATGGAAGGCGTTTACCAGCACGGCTTCATGGTAGAAGAATCCATCATCCCAGCTTTTTGAAAATGAATTCATATTTTCTCACTTTAAACATTTGATATTTTCTTGATGTCTTCTAATATGAAGAAAAATGGGATTAATTTGCAGACCGCTACATTCTGCTTTTATTTACATTTTACAGAGCACTCCAGCATTTTCACAATTGGCTGTCTCTTTTGGCCATATTGTGTATGGGTAACATGTCTCGGTCATTAGCCATGATCTGTGTGTTCTCTGTTCAGGTGCGGGTTGTTGCTCCCTTCCTGGGTCCTCCCTCCGACTACGCTGTGGTGAAAATGATTCCCAATGAAAAGCTGCCGCCCAGGAACCTCCACCGTGTGCGAGTCGACAAAACTCAGGCTACGCTCAAGTGGCAGCCGCCCTATGACAGCCCGAGCAAACCTTTGGTACACTCCTGTCTCTTATTGTGATGATGTCAGACGATCAGAACATGGGGAATATAAAGGACTCATTTCACACTTTTTAACTTGTTCATATTTACAGTTGAAGAGGTAGTAGGCAGCGTTTTCCTTGTATTAACATGTTTTTTACAGCGAGGCTCTGGAAGGATTGTTATTTTAACTAAACAGTGTGACCACAGCTGGCTTTTTGTCCTGTCTCAGCATGTGGGGGACGTTTCTGTGAAGCATTGGTCAGATTCAGTGTCAGTGAGGGACCCTGAAATCAGTTCATACAGGTTTTAGTGATT